CAGGCACGGTGCTGTGTTAGGCATGCGCGTTTGTTGTACGCGCGCACGTAACGTTCCTAGAAAAGAAGTTGTCCCATCGATAAACTTGACGAAATGGTTACCCATTGATTTATCGCTGTATTAGCCACTATTATGTTAAACGCGAACACCTACGTATAACAATAGCCGGAGGGCAGCTCACTTTCCGTGGTTATACGAGGACGATATCATAGACGGCATCACAATAACAACTGTGGACTTCCTCAAACATGTTCTTAAGCTGTGCAATTGTTTACAATTCTACAAGGTCTCTAATTAAGAAATTTTCAGGTATGAAACGAAATTTTTTAATGTACCGTATGTATCAATCATATTTGCACTTTTAAGACGTTTTCAGGTCGCGCATACACACACAGGCGATAAAAAATCCAATAGGGCGATAATAATTTGGGGCGATAAAATATAATATTTATCGGAATTTCAACGTGGGCGAGTGCGCGCGTTCAACCAGTGGATTATAGTTTAGCCAGCGCGCGTTAGTATAACTTCTAATATGACGCACAGCGGGCGGTATGCATCTATTATGGACAGTAAACAGATATAAAACGCACGTTTCTTGCCTGCTATACAGGTGTTTAGGAATTTACGCCGACGTTAACTTATTAATACGCCCGCCACACGCCCCCGCGCCGAGATGAAACTGATAAACATTCCAAACGATTTTACAACTATTGTTGATTCAATATTTTATAATTATAGTACCGCTTAAGATGCAAAAGAGCCTAGCGCGAAGCCGTGCTAGAAAAGTGCAGTTTGAAAACTGCGTCGTGTTCCTTGCTGCGATAGTTATAGTTATGTCGAACCATGTTCTCTGCCTGGCTCTCTGTGTATAGAAACGCTGGCACTGATGTATGATATCGTTGGGCTGCGAGCACTTCAGCCAGCCGAGCGCGGTGCAGAAAACGTTGGAAAGCCCGTTTATTTTAATGATATATATTCGAACACGATTAACGGCGCGTTTAATGTCGCATTTGTTTGTCTCGTAAAGCGAGTCGACGCGGCTGACAGTAGCTCACAGCGGCAGGTGTTTAGAGAAGCACGCATCGATGCGCGCTCTGTTGATCAGGGCGACAACATTCTAATACAGGTAGAACCTTCAATACAGGTAGAAGCATGTCATACAGGTATGCAAGACATTCATACAGGTCGAACATTCATAGCTAGGTAGAACATTCATACAGGTAGAACATTCACTAGAAGACAGTAACGTAGAACATTCATACAAGGTAGAGAACAATTCCAATCAGGAGACATTAGCCAGTAGAACATTCACTAGCTGGTAGAACATTTATTGCAAGGTAGCAACAATCCATACAGGTAGATAGATTCATACAGGTGGAACATTCGATGAGCAGGTAAGACAGAGTCATACAGGTAGAATCATCATACAGGTAGAACTCATCGTACTCATATCAGGTAGAACATTTATGTAGGTAAGAACTTCATACAGGTTGAGCATTCATACAGGTAGAACAATTCATACAGGTAGAACATTCATACAGGTAGAACATCATGGCAGGGTAAGAGACATTCATAGGCAGCGTAGAAATTCATACAGGTAGAAACCATTCATGCAGGTAAATAGCATTTAATACAGGTAAACATTTATACAAGATAAGAGACATTTATACAGGAGAACATTCCTAGCAGGTAAGAACATTCATTACAGGTAGAGAAGCATTTATACGGGTAGAGGCATTCATGGCAAGTAGAACATTCATGCAGGTAGAACATTTATGCAGGTAGAACATTTATACAGGTACAACAATTCATACCAGGTAGAACAATTCATGCAGAGTAGAACATTTTATTACAGGTAGAAAATTATACAGGTAATACACATTTTATGCAGGTAGAACATTCTTAAGCATAGATACATATTATACGGGTAGGAACATTCAATGGGGGCAAGTAGAAACATTTGTGCAAGTAGACCATTCATACAGGTACAAGACTACATTTATGACAGGTAGAACATTCAACAGGTAGAACATTCATACGGTAGAACATTTATACAGGTAAGAAACATTCATACGAGGTAGAACATTCATGCAGGTAGAAGCATTCATGCAGGAGAACATTCAGCAGGTAAAACAATTCATGCAGGTAGAACATTCATAGCAGGTAGAACATTCCATAGCAGGTATAAACACTCAATACAGCGTAGAACATTTATGCAGGTAGAACATTCATACAGGTAGAAGCATTCATACAGAAATAGAAGCATTCATGGGCAGGTGAACATCCCATAGCAGGTAGAAGATCATTACAGGTAAGAACATTCATGCAGGTGAAGTAACATTCATGCAGGTAAGAACATTCATGCCAGGTAGAACATTCATGCAGGTAAGAACATTTATGGCAGGTAGAACATTCAATCGGCAGGTAGAACATTCATGCAGGTAAGAACATCCATGTAAAAAAAAGGTAGAAAGATTCATGGTAGGTAGAACATTTATCGGCAGGTAGAAGAATCATGTAGGTAAAAAACATTCATGCAGGTGAACTTAAAACTTAGAAAAATGTTAGTTTATGTCAGAGCCCGATAACTCATAATGATAATCCGCATTTCATCATTGTTCCGCGAAACATCGTCGCGATATGTTTATGTAAACGCACCAGCGTGCGCGGCACGCCTATGTGAATATTTCGGGTGTGTTCCCGAACGCCTTCTAGGGTGCGCGCCCTCGGGCAACCGGGGAATGAACCAATGTTTTCGTAGCTGCAAGGTGTTCCTGGTCTCATTCGCTCGCAAGTTGGCCATCACGCTGATTGCTTTGCGGCTGTTACGCCCAGCCACCGCGGAGACGCCGTGACTTACGCTTTGTCTGACACATCACCCGAGAAACGTCTCACTAATCACTCTACGGGGCGATGTGTTACTTCACATGCACTAGCTTTCCGAGACAATCTCGCTACTGTTGCGTTTCTATACCATCGCATTCATGTATCTTTTAAGCAGATATTTTCTCAAAATTAATCGCTTTAAAAATCTTTCACCTTTTCCATGTCTTTGTCTATGAACATTGCCGTTGTTTTTAGTTTGTTTTCCGTGACCTTTATATGAATAGCAAAAGAAACTGAATTTCGTAAAATGAGAAAGAGAAAATACGTTGATCTACAGAGCAGAACAATCACTAGTCTGACGTCATCGGTTTAATGGAAGGATGTGAGTTCACGAGCACATGATGCAAAATCCCCCATGACGCCTGCGTATAGGCTGTTTTTTTCTTAAAACTACCAATATATAAAAGTAATGGAAATTTTTTATATACAGGTCGACCTGTTTAAACATTCTCCGTGTAATATTCTGCCTCCAATACACGAACAACACAACACACACGTCGCCAGCTCAACACAACACACAGCACACCACACACACACACACCACACACAACACACACACACCACACAATACACACACACAACACACACTCACACACACACACATACACACACAACCCCACACCACAACACAACAAAACACGCCACGGCACACACATACACAGCACAAACGACACAACACACACCACACACACACCCACACACACACATTACCACACACAGCACCCACAAACGCACGCGCAACGACACAGCACGCACGCACGCGCCAGCACGCACGCACGCGCCGCACGCCTAACGCACACACAGAATGCAAATCACACACAGCAACATATATATAGGTAATTAAATACGCTGCAGGGCATGGCTTGTGCAAATACATAATATAGCAGGACAAGTGCGAATGAGAGAGATTTAGATGGTCATTTTGACACATGGCAACGTTTGTCAGCGAAACTTGCGCCGCCTGTAAATCGCAGAAAAAGTCGACGAGATGAAAGAGGCAGCTCTGAGTTGGTGAGCACAGTAATATCAGAAAACCAGTTGCACCGCGAATTGCCAGGAAATCGGAAGAGAGAGGGGAGGGTGAAGGAGAAGGAGAAGGCGGGGCCAGACGATATACGACAAGTCAAATTGGGCATAGGTTCGCCGATTAGAAACCAATAGCACAATAGCGATGGCGCGAGATCGATGACATCAAAATAGATAATGCTCCAAGATACATCCACGATCTCTCTTGACAAGGCTACGTTACTAAATGGTGTTATTAATGACTAGCTATATCGACGCGTGGCAGAGCTCTTTCATGTTTAAAGTTTGCCAGAATGGCGTACGGGGGGCGCGCAACTCACATAGCGTGTTCTTCTATACCTGCTTCGCGTACCAAAGACGAGCATTAGTTAATATAAAAGGGCTATTAAGTATACACATTATGGTTTATAGCGCATCTTGTCCCGTTACAATACTAAAGACGTGTACCAGCGGTCACTCACATATCCGTGTGCGTAGACTGAACATGAATTAATTCGTGATAAGTAGACCTGAACATGATATTAATTCGTGACAAGTAACCTGAAACGTAAATAAATTCGTGATGGAGTAGACGGTAAATGTAATTAATTTAGTTTGTGTATCTTGTGTCGGCTCAGCGGCGCTGCGCGGGCCGACCGTCCCCCCCCATAAGCACCAATCTAGCTAAGTTGAATTAATAAAATTTCTCCAGGTAACTTTTAATTAACTCAGCGGTAGGTGGGATTCGCTGTGAATAATTGAGCAGAATGTGGTCAGCTGCGGTGCTTGTGTGTGGGGGGGGGGGGCGATGGTCGTCCAGAGATGAAAGCCGCGGATGGAATTAGGTACGGTGTATTAGGCCATACTTCTATACACGCGCGCAGTTACAGCATCATTATAAGATGCAGCGATTTCCTTCCTCAACCCTGCCAACATTGATGACCGAGTTGAGGCTGTGTATAACCCTTACCTCAAAAGGAGAGCCCATCCGTCGCCAAATTGCACATTTCTAACTCCGTTTTCTCCGTGCAAGTGCCGCCAGAGTAAACATATTTGGGCGCAGG